CTGACATGCATCCATACAAACCATGTTACAATTGTATAATCATAATAGCATTCACAGTATATACATATTATAGGATATTAGGATGCATAGTATCGGTTCTTCAAGTTCTATAAAATCAGGGACCGTCATGATACATAACAAGAAGGCCCTTGAAGGTAAAATCAGGGGAATGAAAATACATAATATCAAGGTACTTAACGTCAAGGCCATTCATGATATATAACAAAATTCCACGAAGGCACAAAATATGAGGGGCCCATCAAGTTGTATTGAAACTTCTTAGTTTATATTAAAACTTATCACGTTTAGATGTAAATACAGCATCTCCTCATTTAGCGACGTACTCGTTTGCCGACGCCTCGGACTTACGACGGGCTCTCTGACCAGTATGCATGCCTAAATAATGTATACTAGAACTGATTTTCTTTATTCTGTTTATTACAATATACAGTACACTACTGTATAAACATTGAAAAATACACCAGAAATGTTATAAGTGGTGCAAAGGTGACATTAAAACATTATCAAAGAGAGTTTACAAAAACCCACTACCATTACAGTATGCTCCTCGCTTAGCGACAAACTCGTTTACCGACGTCGTCTTGGGAATGTGACTCCGTCGTTAAGTGAGGAGAGGCTGTATTTAATATGATCTGACTTTCCTGTTTTATCACGCTGACTTTCCTGTTTTATCATGCTGACTTTCCTGTTTTATCATGGTGACTTTCCTGTTTTATCATGGTGACTTTCCTGTTTTATAATGCTGACTTTCCTGTTTTATCATGGTGACTTTCCTGTTTTATAATGCTGACTTTCCTGTTTTATCATGATGACTTTCCTGTTTTATCATGGTGACTTTCCTGTTTTATCATGATGACTTTCCTGTTTTATCATGGTGACTTTCCTGTTTTATCATGGTGACTTTCCTGTTTTATAATGCTGACTTTCCTGTTTTATCATGATGACTTTCCTGTTTTATCATGGTGACTTTCCTGTTTTATAATGCTGACTTTCCTGTTTTATCATGATGACTTTCCTGTTTTATCATGGTGACTTTCCTGTTTTTATCATGATGATTTCCTGTTTTATCATGGTGACTTTCCTGTTTTATCATGGTGACTTTCCTGTTTTATAATGCTGACTTTCCTGTTTTATCATGGTGACTTTCCTGTTTTATCATGGTGACTTTCCTGTTTTATAATGGTGACTTTCCTGCTTTATCATGATGACTTTCCTGTTTTATCATGCTGACTTTCCTGTTTTATCATGCTGACTTTCCTGTTTTATCAGGCTGACTTTCCTGTTTTATCAGGCTGACTTTCCTGTTGTATCATGCTGACTTTCCTGTTTTATCCTGCTGACTTTCCTGTTTTATCACGCTGACTTTCCTGTTTTATCACGCTGACTTTCTTGTTTTATCACGCTGACTTTCCTGTTTTATCATGCTGACTTTCCTGTTTTATCATGCTGACTTTCCTGTTTTATCACGCTGACTTTCCTGTTTTATCAGGCTGACTTTCCTGTTGTATCACGCTGACTTTCCTGTTTTATCACGCTGACTTTCTTGTTTTATCACGCTGACTTTCCTGTTTTATCATGCTGACTTTCCTGTTTTATCATGCTGACTTTCCTGTTTTATCATGCTGACTTTCCTGTTTTATCATGCTGACTTTGAAAACTTTCCGATGCAAATTGTCACGCGTGGAAATACTAATGATTATTATTTATGATGATTATTATTAATGATGATTATGGACCAAATTTTTGGAATGGCTTTTATTGTTAGGAAAATTAATCCTTAAGACTTTTGTTGTTAAAACATGAAGTCATGTTGTTGTGAAACTATACCTGGAGGGCATTCTGAGCGTTAACACCCCCATGGCCAGGTTCATGACCAGGCCTCGCAGTGGATCACAGCCTGAACAACCAGGTTGTTACTGCTGGTTGCACGCAGACAGACACAAACCACAGCTCGGCTGGTCAAGTACTGACTTTAGGTGTCTATCTAGACCTCACTTCAAAACAGTTAGGGGCCTATTGGTAATCCCTTATGTATGGTGGCAGACACTTGAATATAATTCTGCTGTGACACATTAGTGGTTGATTAAGTTGTCATTGAGTAATTAATGAGGACTTTGTTGCAGCTCAGTTGTTTTTTTAATACATTATTTATTGAAATTTGTCATACCATAATAAATTACACAATGAATACATGAATAATGAAAATCTAATTACACTATGTAATACAGTTTTTGTTCCTGACAAGTAAGTGTTATTTTCCATCTCATTTTATTGCAAAACTGTAGAAAATATCCATTATTCCTTTCTTTTGCTTTTGTGGTTTACAGGTTGAATTTTTGACAAAAAATGGCCAAATTTCAATACTTTATGCTAATTTTGGATGATAAAATAAATAAAATTTACATAAATAAAATAAAATTTACACAAATTTTATTTTAAACTTTCTGAAACATTAAAAAATAATAAATAAAAAAAATCGACACCATGCCTAACCCTTCTAGGGTAGGGTAGGTGCCTGAGCCCGAGCCTTTAGCTCATAAGACTGTCATTCCCATTTGCCCCCTTGGGCGGGGATGGCAGACTAGAGAGGCCTAGCTTGTGGCTAGGCCTGGGGACAGTTGGTCCCAAAGATGAGGAGGTACTTGTGCCTCCTCCCATGGGAGACTTAGGTCTCAGACACTCCCTAAAGAGGGAGCCAAGGCCGGGCCACCACTTGGAAAAGGCCCGGGCCGGGAGAATACCGGCTAATCTTTAACTAACTATAATAAAAAAATCGACACCATGCCTAACCCTTCTAGGGTAGGGTAGGTGCCTGAGCCCGAGCCTTTAGCTCATAAGACTGTCATTCCCATTAGCCCCCTTGAGGCGGGGATGGCAGACCAGAGAGGCCTAGCTTGTGGCTAGGCCTGGGGACAGTTGGTCCCAAAGATGAGGAGGTACTTGTGCCTCCTCCCATGGGAGACTTAGGTCTCAGACACTCCCTAAAGAGGGAGCCAAAGCCGGGCCACCACTTGGAAAAGGCCCGGGCCGGGAGAATACCGGCTAATCTTTAATAATAATAATAATAAATAAAAAAAAAAAAAGGGTAGGGTAGGTGCCTGAGCCCGAGCCTTTAGCTCATAAGACTGTCATTCCCATTTGCCCCTTGGGGCGGGGATGGCAGACCAGAGAGGCCTAGCTTGTGGCTAGGCCTGGGGACAGTTGGTCCCAAAGATGAGGAGGTACTTGTGCCTCCTCCCATGGGAGACTTAGGTCTCAAACACTCCCTAAAGAGGGAGCCAAGGCCGGGCCACCACTTGGAAAAGGCCCGGGCCGGGAGAATACCGGCTAATCTTTAATAATAATAATAATAAATAAAAAAACATCGACACCATGCCTAACCCTTCTAGGGTAGGGTAGGTGCCTGAGCCCGAGCCTTTAGCTCATAAGACTGTCATTCCCATTTGCCCCTTTGGGGCGGGGATGGCAGACCAGAGAGGCCTAGCTTGTGGCTAGGCCTGGGGACAGTTGGTCCCAAAGATGAGGAGGTGCTTGTACCTCCTCCCATGGGAGACTTAGGTCTCAGACACTCCCTAAAGAGGGAGCCAAGGCCGGGCCACCACTTGGACAAGGCCCGGGCCGGGAGAATACCGGCTAATCTTTAACTAACTAACTAATAAAAAAAAAAATTGAAGAGAGAGAGCCTGAGCTTGCTACCATCTGCAGCTCATAAGACTGCCATCCCCACGAGCCCCTTTGAGGCGGGGTAGATGGCAGACCAGAGGCCTAGCTTCTCCCTACGAGCCCCGTGAGGGCGGGGAATGTGGCTAGGCCTGGGGGCACTTGGTCCCAAAGATGAGGAGGTACTTGTCCTTCCTCCCATGGGAGACTTAAGTCTCGAGACACTCCCCAGATAGGGAGCCAAGGGCCCGGGTCACCCCTACTTGGAAAAGACCCGGGCCGGGAGAATACCGGTGAATAAAAAAAAAAAAAAAAAAAAAAAAAAAAAAAAAAAATTGAAGAGAGAGAGCCTGAGCTTGCTACCATCTGCAGCTCATAAGACTACCATCCCCACGAGCCCCTTTGAGGCGGGGTAGATGGCAGACCAGAGGCCTAGCTTCTTCCTACGAGCCCCGTGAGGGCGCGGAATGTGGCTAGGCCTGGGGACACTTGGTCCCAAAGATGAGGAGGTACTGTACCTCCTCCCATGGGAGACTTAAGTCTCGAGACACTCCCCAGATAGGGAGCCAAGGCCGGGTCACCACTACTTGGAAAAGACCCGGGCCGGGAGAATACCGGTGAATAAAAAAAAAAAAAAAAAAAAAAAATAAAAAAACATCATCGACATCATGCCTAACCCTTCTAGGGTAGGGTAGGTGCCTGAGCCCAAGCCTTTAGCTCATAAGACTGTCATTCCCATTTGCCCCCTTGGGGTGGGGATGGCAGACCAGAGAGGCCTAGCTTGTGGCTAGGCCTGGGGACAGTTGGTCCCAAAGATGAGGACGTACTTGTGCCTCCTCCCATGGGAGACTAAGGTTTCAGACACTCCCCAAAGAGGGAGCCAAGGCCGGGCCACCACTTGGAAAAGGCCCGGGCCGGGAGAATACCGGCTAATATTTAATGATAATAAATAAAAAAAAAAAAAAAAAAAAAGCCGGGGGCATCGATACCATGCCTAACCCTTCTAGGGCAGAGTAGGTTCCTGAGCCCGAGCTTTTAGATCCTAAGACTGTCATTCCTATTAGCGCCCTTGGGGTGGGGATGGCAGACCAGAGAGGCCTAGCTTGTGGCTAGGCCTGGGGACAGTTGGTCCCAAAGATGAGATGGTACTTGTATCTCCTCCCATGGGAGACTTTGGTCTCAGATACTCCCTAAAGAGGGAGCCAAGGCCGGGCCACCACTTGGAAAAGGCCCGGGCCGGGAGAATACCGGCTAATCTTTAATAAATAAATAAAATAAATAAATAATAAAAAAAAAAAAAAGCCGGGGGCATCGATACC